GGTCAATCACACTAGTTGGGTGTTTATTGCCAGGCATGCCCCACTACAGAAGGGCAAACATGAGGGGAAAGTTGATTTTCACCAGGTTGTGATTTTTCTGGCAAGTAAGATGAAGTGAGGGAAGGATAAAGAAGTCAAGCATCTATGCAAGGGAATGGTAATGATGATTGGCTATGACATTTAAGCTGGGTTAGGAAAAGAGCGGGCATCAGAGGGGTGAGGGTCAGCAGGAGGGACAGTAGAGTGGAGATTTTTGGACTGGGGTACTAAGAGAAAGAGAGGAAGTTAGAAGGTGGTGGTGACAGAGCAGAAGGCAGGAAATGGCTAGAGTTGCAGTTATGGGTAATGATGAAATCTGGGTAAAGATCATGGGAATGACTAACTGGGGAAGTTTGAGAAACAATATTATTGGAGGAGAGGATATCAAGGAACTGGAAGGCCAGTATGTTGCAAGGATCATCTAAATATGTACTGAAAGTGTCAAGAGTTAAGATTCCATAAACTTCAGCCACATCTCTTACCACTATTCATCTCGCAGTAAATGCTCTAGACATGTAAACTTCTCATTGTCTTATTTGTCTACTTATTCCAGTAGTTGGTACATCTGAGCTGAAAGAACTGAACTGCTGTGTTGGTTTAACAGCCCCTGCCTTTCTTAGCTCTGCTCATGTATAACCACTGAGGGCTGATACCACAGGTCCTCTTGGCTTGCAGGAGACAATTCCTCACGCCATCTCCTCTCTGGGTTCTGACCAATAGAAATGAGACACGAGGAACTAAACAATGATCTCACCATTAGCCTTAACTATTAGGCCAACCAACTCCCTAGTAAAGGATCAGAAATCATAGCTGGAAGCAGAGGTCAAACTGAAGGTCTCCTACTATCTCCTTCTCTCCAAACCCAGGCTTTGGACCTGCTCCTGGATGGTATCTGCACCATTATGCATCCAGGTATGTGGGGAATTGTTAACTGGTCTCACAATCCAGTTTCAGACATGATAAAGGGGGCGAAAGAAAAAAAAAAAAAGACAGCTATGGCCTAAAACATATCAGGCTCTTTCTAATCCCACAACCTCCTGTGGGGTGTTAAAAAGTGGATAGATAGATCAGATCAGATGTATTCCTCCCAACACTCCTAAAACTCTAGAGAAGTGAATGTCTCCTTGTCTATGGGCAGAGAAGAACTCAATATTCTTCTGTCTAAGCAAGGAAGTACATTGGAAACCACCTCTCTATCTTCAGATGTGGTATGGATTAGTCTTGATGCCATACTTGGTGCCTAGCCCAGTCTATCATGCATGCCCACTATGTTATTACAGCACTCCCCTCCCCCACTGACCATACCACCTTGGACCACTTTATGTAGTAAAATAGCTTAGTGACTAATCAGAATTTCAGTCTCCTTGCCCAGAGGTTCAACCAGAGGGAGAAGTCAGAGCTTCTTTTAAATGCACCTATGACCTTAAGAAGGAACCCTGTTGGCACAACTGTTAAGCAATCAACTGCTAACCAAAAGTTTAGTGGTTCGAACCCACCCAGTGGCTCTGCAGAAAAAGACCTGGTGATCTGCTTCTGTAAAGGTTATAGACTAGAAAACCCTACAGGGCACTTCTACTTTGTCACATGGCGTTGGTATGAGTTGGAATCAACTTGACAGCACCTAACAACAATAGGACCTCAAGAAGAGGCCTAAGGCAGCGGCGAAGCTTGTTGATCTGGACAGAGTGGAGCACAGGGCTGTTTCTGGGAATGTCAGAGGCAGGACGAGTGGTGGCCAGACTCATTCTAGACTGCATTCCCTGTGGGAGTGGACTTTCTGGTCATTGGGCTAGAGTGGCTTAGGTAATGGGTGAGGTTAAGGTCTTCCAACCCCTTAGAAATGGGTAAAGAATGTCATTTCTCTTCCAAAAGATAAGTGCTGAGGGAGGCAGACTCCAGGGGAGAAAGCTGCCCTTTCCCAGCCAGTGCAAGAGCCAAGAAACTGAGCTCTGTCTTCCCTTGTGACCTTCCTCCTGGCAGAAATAGCTCCTTCATAACACAAAGCTTTCAGGGAAGAGCCCAGATATATAAAAACAGCAGAGACCAGAGCAATAACTCTTGGTGCTGGGGATCATAGAGGAACCCCCATATGTCATCTCGTAAGTGCTTATCCTTAAAAAAAGGAATGAATTTACAAATCCATTCTCAAGTAATAAAACACGATCCATTCAAGAAGCATCTAGAACAAAACACGCAGTTTTAACAGGGCTTTGCAAAAAGAGCCCTCAAACTGGGGTATTCTCTGGTGATTTCTTCGTATTTCACACCCTGATAGCTGGTGCATCAACCAACCCCTATGACACAGGATAACTGAAAAGAAACCGTGTAGATCAAAATGAGTGCTAAGTCAGAATCAGAAGACAATTCTGTTCAATGAACTTGTGATGATTTTCAATTTCTCTGGACAAATAAAAGTCATATGACATTTTTTAGTAGAACAGCTTTATTGAGATATAATTCACATACCATATAATTTCACGCACTGAAAGTATACAAAAGGAGCCCTGGTGGAACAGTGGTTAAAGTGATCTGATGTTAACTGAAAGGGTGGTGGTTCGAACCCACCAGCCGCTCTGCGGGAGAAAGATGTGGCAGTCTGCTCCCATAAGGATTTACAGCCTGCAAACCCTGTGGGGCAGTTCCACTCTGTTCTCCAGGGTCACTATGAGTTTGAATCAACTCGATGGTATAGTTTTTATTATTTTTTTTTTTGGTTTTGAAATATACTATAGTTTATAGTACTCCCACAGAATGTGCAACCATCATCACAATCAATTTTAGAATATTTTTTATCACTTCCAAAAGAAATCCTATCCCCATTAGCATTACTCCCCATTTCCCGTCAATGCCCTAAGCAACCATGAATCAACTTTTACTCTCTTTAGAGTTGCCCATTTTGGACACGTTATATAAATTTAGTTTTACCATTTGTAGCCCTTTGTGACTGGCTTCTTTCACTCAGCATAATGTTTTCAAGGTCCATCTGTGTTCTGGCATGTGTCCGTACTGCATTCCTTTTTATGACCGAAATTCCATTCTACGGCTATAACACATTTTGTTTATCTGCTCATCAGGTGATGGACATTTGGGTTGTTTCCATCTTTTCTCTATAATGAATAATGCAGTATAAGCATTTATGTACGAGTTTTTGTGTGAATATATGTTTTTATTTCTCTTGAGTATATACCTAGGAGTGGAGTTGCTGGGTCATGTGGTAACTCTAGGTTTAACCTTTTGAAGAACCGCCAGACTGTTTTCCAAAGTGGTTGCACTATTTTACATTCCCATCATCAGCTACTAGGCTTGGTAGCTAATGTGTAATATCAACACATTTCATGTTTTATAAACTTATCTCTCTGATTTGCAGTAGTAATTTGGGCATAATCAAAGGTGAGATGGAGAGAGAGAGTAACCATATAATCTAAGCACTGAACTTAGCTTTTCTTGAAGCCTACTCTCATAGACTTTTCATATGGAGAGATCATGCATTTGTTTTGCCGTTAAGCTGATTTATACATATCGCAGACTCTTGACTACACAACAGATCATCATAGTTCAAGGGGAAAAGAATGTCACGGAGGAAGAAAGTAGAAAGAGCAGTCGGAGAGAGGGCTGTATCTGCCTGGATGAGCTGGAGTGATCCGAACAGCTGCTAACATTTCACTACTTTTCAAATGATTATATGTATATTATCTCATTTGCTCCTTTTTCCAACACTGTGAGAAAGTCATTTGTCTTACCCTCATTATCAAAACAATAACATTGATTATAATTACCCAAAGAGTGGAAGAAGGGGGACAGAACAGAAAGAATGTTGGGATCACAAAGTCTCTACACAAAATAAATAATAACTGTAAGATAAGTTTTAATACCACTCCTAAATCAGCATTATAAACGTATTTCTCAAGATACAGTGCCTTTCAAAGAACTATTCTATTGTTTTCTATTCCTATATAATATCTAATGCTTGGTAAAAAGATGATTAGTGATTTTTTTTGTGAGTCTTAAAAAAAAAAATGCCACAAAATACAGCTAGGCTGTGATACAATCCACAGAAAAAATGTAGAATTAGCTCAAAAGTCTGTGAAGCTTTGCAGGAACCTGGTGTAATGAACTAAAATGAACTTTCTCATTTTCTGTCATTTCCCCCAAGATGTTAATGTTTTAGATCTATGTGTAAGTGTTACTTCGGCTCTGTCATTAGCTAGAAATTTGCTCCTGGATGATAAAAAGGTACATTTTTTTTCTCCCAAATTTAATTTGACTCTTCTGCAACCATTGCCAGTGAGAGATAGCCCTTAGAGACAGGTGTTGCCAAGTATTCTTATGATTGTGACATCTTGTCATTTGGGAAAAATTGCCAACAGCCTTATAAATGTAGATTAAGATGGGAAAATATTAAGGGCCATTTCTCAAACTATAGTATTCATTAGTAAAACGCACAGACCCTTAGAGATTAGAAAGTACCATACTCCATTTTCTGGTTCTCTCAAGTAGCTTGTAAGGCCATATTTATGGGTATGTTTAGCTCACATACACATATATATTTAGGCAAAAGTTTGTCATCTGCTATTTTAGATGCCTGTGATGGTAAGTACATCCTGATTTTATCATTAGGAAATGGTCTAGTGTTCAATACGAAGATGCAATGGGGTGATAACTTCACGATTTCATCTTGCATCCTTGCATTGATGATCAATATACTACAAAAGCCAATGGTTAATCCTCACTTTTTCTTCTTCCTCAATGTGTCTGAAATAATGCGATGTGTTTCCCCCAAACTCTTTCATTTTCTTCTTGAGCACACAGGAAGACTGTATTTCCCAGTTCTCCTTGCAAACAGATTGAGGCCACGTGACTGAGTTCTGTCCATTGGAATGTGGGCAGATATAATGTATGCCACACCTAGCCAAATACTCCTCTCTCCATGCAATCCTCTTTGCTCTCTCTTTCTCTTCCAGGAAACTTTCAAAGAACAATTGTTGAAGATGGTGGTGCCACAAGATGGATGGAGCCTGGGTACATGAATGGCTGCGTGGAGCAGAGCTCCCTGTCTACTGCATTTGACTTTGAAGTGAGCAAGCAAAAATGAATTATTGTGTTAATCTACTGAGTTGTTTTTTGTTATAATGTTTACGCTACACTGATTATTTAATATTGTCACTCCTCTTAGTTGTGTTATTTGGAGGTACAATTGTACTACATATTTAGATGAACAAATGGATAAGTGGCCAGGAGTGACACTCTAAGAGTCATCCAATTTTAAACTCATGGAAAAGCTAACCAAGCATGAAAGCAATTGAAGTCACCTGGGTCAGAGACTGTAGATTGCCACCTTATTGAGAGAGCACTAGCCTCTGCTTTCCCTTTCTGGGCAATATTCTGGGGCAGACATGTTGAACCATCAATGACCTACAGAAACAATACATAAAGGACCTTCTAAGGTAGGTCATTGATAGAAGGCGATACCACACAAGAAGCTTTTTAAAAATTTTTTATTTATTGTACTTTAGATAAAGGTTTACAGAATAGTTTCTCGTTAAACAGTACACATATTGTTTTATGACAATGGTTAACAGCCCCAAGACAGGTCAACGCTGTCCCTTCTCAACCTTGGGTTCCCTACTACCAGCTTTCCTGTCTCCTCCTGCCTTCGAGTCCTTGTCCCTGGACTGTTGTGCCCCATTAGTCTCCTTTTGTTTTATGGGGCTGTCTAATCTTTGGCTGAATGGTGAACCGCGGGAGTGAATTCATTACTGAGCTATAAGGGTGTCCAGGGACCATACTCTCGGGGTTTCTCTAGCCTCTGTCAGGCCAGTAAGTCTGGTCTTTTTTTGTGAGTTAGAATTTTGTACATTTTTCTCCAGCTCTGTCCGGGACCCTCTGTTGTGATCCCTGTCAGAGCAGTCAGTGGTGGTAGCCAGGCACCATCTAGTTGTACTGAATGCAGTCGGTGGAGGCCGTGGTAGTTGTGGTCCATTAGTCCTTTGGACTAATCTTTTCCTTGTATCTTATTTTCTTCATTCTCCCTTGTTCCCGAAGGCGTGAGACCAGTGGAGTATCTTAGATGGCTGCTCACAGGCTTTTAAGACCCCAGACTCTACTCATCAAGGTAGAATGTGGAACATTTTCTTTATAAAGTGTGTTATGCCAATTGAGCTAGATGTTCCCCGAGACCAAGGTCCCCACAGCCCTCTGCCCAGCAATTCAGTCCCTCAGGGAGTTTGGATGTGTCTATGGAGCTTCCATGACCTTTCCTTGTACAAGTTGTGCTGCCTTCCCCAGTATTGTGTACTGTCTTACCCTTCACCCAAGATACCACTTATCTATTGTCTATTTAGTATTCCCCCTGAACACCTCCCTTCCCTTGTAACCAACAAAGATGGTTTCATTTTGTGTGTAAACTTTTTCTTGAGTTTTTACAGTAGAGGTCTCATACAATATTTGTTCTTTTGTGATTGACTTATTTCACTCAGCATAATGTCCTCCAGTTTCATCCATGTTATGAGATGCTTCACACATTCATCATGGTTCCTTATTGTTGCATAATACTCCATTGTGTGTATGTACCATAGTTTGTTTATCTATTCATCTGTTGATGGGCATCTAGGTGGTTTCCATCTTTTTGCTATTGTGAACAGTGCTGCAATGGACATGAGTGTACATACGGCTATTCATGTGACGACTCTTATTTCTCCAGGATATATTCCTAGGAGTGGATTGCTGAATCGTATAGTATTTCTATTTCTAGCTTTCTAAGGAAGTGCCGTATCATTTTCCAAAATGGTTGTATCATTTTGCATTCCCACCAGCAGTGCATAAGAGTTCCGATCTCCCCGCAACCTCTCCAACATTTGTTATTTCCAGTTTTTTTGATTTGTGCCAGTAAAGCCAGGGTGAGATGTTATCTCATTGTGGTTTTGATTTGCATTTCTCTAACGGCTAGTGATTGCGAGAATTTCCTTATGTGTCTGTTGGCCTCTTGAATGCCTTCTTTGGTGAAGTGTCTGTTCATTTCCCTTGCCCATTTTTTAATTGAATTATTTGTCTTTTTGTTGTAGAGGTGTTGACTTTTCTTGTAGATTTTAGAGACTGAGTCTTTGTCTGACTTGTAATGTCCAAAAAATTTCTCCCAGTCAGCAGGTTCTCATTTTACTCTTTTGGTGAAGTCTTTTGATGAGCATAAGTGTTTAATTTTTAGAAGATCCCGGTTATCTAGCTTATCTTCTGGAGTTTGTGTGTTGTTGATTATGGTTTGTATCCTGTTAATGCCGTGTATTAAGACCTCTAGCATTGATCCTAGTTTTTCTTCTATGAACTTTATAGTTTTAGGCTTTCTATTTAGGTCTTTGATCCATTTTGAATTAGTTTTTTTGTATATGGTGTGAGGTATGGGTCCTGTTTCATTTTTTTTGTAGATGGATGTCCAGTTTTGCCAGCATCATTTGTTAAAAAGACTGTCTTTTCCCCATTTGATGGACTTTGGGCCCTTGCTGTAGATCAGGTGACCATAGGTGGTTGGTTTACATCTGGGCCCTCAATTCTGTTCCATTGGTCAATGTATCTGTCGTTGTAGTGGTACCAGACTGTTTTGACTACTGTAGCTATATAGTAGGTTCTGAGGTCAGGTAGTGCGAGTCCTCCTACTTTATTCTTCTTCGGTAGTGCTTTACTTATCTGGGGGCTTCTTCCCTTTCCAGATAAAGTTAATGATTAGTTTTTTCATCTCTTTAAAGAATGTTATTGGTATTTGGATGGGGATTGCATTGTATTTGTAAATTGCTTTGGGTAGAAGTGTCATTTTCACAATGTTGAGTCTACCTATCCATGAGCATGATATGTTTTTCCATTTATATAGACCCCTTTGAGTTTCTTGCAGTAGTGTTTTGTAGTTTTCTTTGTATAGGACTTTTACATTCCTGGTTAGATTTATTCGTAAGTATTTTATTTTTTTAGGGGCTATGATAAATGGTATTGTTTTCCTGATTTCCTTTTCATCGTTCTCCTTATTGGTGTATAGGAGTCCAACTGATTTTTGTATGTTTATCTTGTATCCTGCTACTCTGCTGAATCTTTCTATTAGTTCCAGTAGATTTCTCGTGGAGTCTTTAGGGTTTTGTATGTATAGTATCATATCATCCGCAAACAAGGAGCATTTAACTTCTTCATTACCAGTTTGGATGCCCTTTATTTCTTTTTCTTGCCTTATTGCCGTAGCTAGGGCATCCAGCACAATGTTAAATAGGAGTGATGATAAAGGGCATCCTTGTCTTGTTCCTGTTCTCAAGGGGAATGTTTTCAGCGTCTCTCCATTAAGAATGATGTTGGCCGTTGGTTTTGCATAGATGCCCTTTATTGTGTTGAGAAATTTCCCTACAAGAAGCTATTTGTTGAAATGTTTAGTGTCCCTTTGTTACAAATGTTTTCCTAATTAAAAGAAATATGTCTTCTTCGGATTGTTGTGTTTTTTTTTTTTTTTTTTTTTTTGGGCAATCTCCATAGTAAAAGATGCAAACCCTCATTGCCTGGAGCTGGGAATAATATAAAGATATGGACATAAGCTTTAGCAGCCACAAATAGATAAAAACTCCTACCACTACCCTTGCCTGATCCTTCACCTTATGGCACGGTAATACTCAATTACTTGGAATTTCTCCAAGAATACCATGGCCTGCATACCTCAGTATCAAGATGAGGTATGTTCATGATGTTGTCCTTGCCTTCAACATTCTGCATCCTGACCTACCTGGGGTGCCTATTTGTCCTTCAACATTCACCTGGACATTATCCCCTTCAGGAAGCCTTCTCCAATCAGGAAGCCTGCTCCCACGACACCTATTTTACCCCTATTAGAAGAGTTATCGAAGTTCGTGGTAAATATTTATTCCTAGTAGGCTGTAAAATGCTTGAGTATACCCATTGCCATCAAGTTGATTCCAACTCATGGCAATTCCATGTGTTTCAGAGTAGAACTGCTTCATAGGGTTTTCTTGGCTCTAATCTTTACAGAGCAGAGTCCCAGGCCTTTCTTCCGTGGTGCCACTGAGTGGATTTGAACCATCTACCTTTAGGTTAGTAGTTCATTGCAAACCATTTGCACCACCCATGTTTTATTCATCTAGCCATCCCTAGGACTGGTAAATGCCTGGTATATTGTAGGTGCTCAATAAATTCCTGTTGAATTTAATTGAACTAATCAGGTAACAGAAGTCCCAGAAACAGAAAAATTTTAAATGTCGTCTATTATCTACTGACAGGCCAACATATAGTATTGGGAAAACAGGGAGATACAACAGAGAGGTGTAATTTCTGTTGTTGTTAGGTGACCTTAAGTCAGTTTTTGACTCATAACAGCCCCATGTGACAGAGTAGAACTTCCCCATAGAGTTTTCCAGGCCATAATCTTTATGGAAGCAAATTGCTAGGTCTTTCTGCTCCCAAGCAGTTGAGGGGTTTGAACTGCCTACCTTTTGGTTAACAGCTGAGTGCTTAACTGTTGTGCCTCACCCTAAGATGCAGATATATTTGGGCATGTCTAATGACTACTTGAACATGCCCACAACTCTTCTATTTCCATGATGGACTAGGATTCTCTTGGTGACAACATCATTCTGAGGAAGATGGAGCTTAGATACAGGATTTGGGCTGGAAGACAATGATCTGTGTAGGAGAACAAGTCTTTCTGAATAGGGTCCAGTGTTTTCCACTCAGCTTGTTCAAGTTCTAACTTTCACACGCTCTTGCTTGATCCTAGGGAGAGGTGGCTGAGAATAAAACCTGGAAGAGCTGTTTCAACAAAAACATCATGAGACACTGAGTCCTCAAGGCAGTGCTGCACTGTGGCTGCTGTAACAGAGATGCCCAGGGATTGAGACTGTTCCCAACTTGAGTTACTCCAGAGCCCAGCCCAGACACAGCCACCAGAGGAGCTAGCTGAACTAGCTTCCATCTCACATGGAGATGCAGTAGCAGATGTCACTCTTTGATGGGTATCAGCAGAACCACAGAGGATGTAGGTAGCCTCATGGAGGATTCACGGCTGGAACAGTAGTATGCATTGGTGCAGGTGGCAGGAGAGGAGGGACAGAGCCATACCACACAGCAGCCCAGAGGATTTGTTTGTTTGCAAACATGTGTGACCTCCTCAGAGGCCACCTGGAATACTGTCTGGGGGGGAATTGAGTCAGTCTGGAGACTCATAATAATTAGTGAAGAGAAAGCAGAAATTCACTCTTTTATTAGTGTTAGAATAACCCTATTTTAACCACTATGCTTATGTGGCCTGGGGAAATCCCGGTTATGATTTAAGTAAGCAGATGCATTTTTTAATCAGTGAGGTTGAGTTTAGCCAGGGTCTATTTGGGATGTTAAAACCACTGGCAATGTTCATGAATGATTCATGGAGATTGGTGGAGGCGGTCAAGGGGTGTGAAAGGAACAATTTAAAGTCCATTTTCATGAAAGGAGGGAAAGGATCGTGTGGTGTGTTATGGATCCGTCAGTGTAAGTGTGTCATACTGCGAAATAAACAAACAAACCGAATATCTCACCAGAAATCAATTCCTAAGCAGTGATAGGAGCACAGGGTTTGGGTGAAAAATAGCAGGGCTTTGTGCAGATCGATGCCTTCAAGCAGATCTGTCTTCTCACCATGACAGAGTGATAGAAAAATTGAAGCATGCAGTGTATTTTGAGTTTGCTAAGGCTTTTGATTTTTCTCAATGAGAATTTCTCTTCGGTGAGGAAGATAATTCAAGATATTTTTGAAATGCCTAGTGAGTATATGAAGTAACAGGTATGTTATTATAAACATGAGAACCAAGGATGGAGACTCATGTGGGGGCAGAAAGACATGTGGGCAGATTGTAACACAAATTTTAGAGCCCCTATCATGTTCTGTTATTGCATTGGGCAAATCTGCTCTGAAAGACCTCTTTAAAGTGTTAAAAAGCAAAGATGTCACTCTGAAGACTAAGGTGCGTCTGACCCTAACCATGGTATTTTCAATTGCCTCATATGCATGTGAAAACTGGACAATGAATAAGGAAGACTGGAAAAGAATTGACGCCTTTGAATTATGATGTTGGCGAAGAATATTTAATATACTATAGACTGCCAGAAGAATGAACAAATCTGTCTTGGAAGACGTACAGCCAGAAAGCTGTTTGGAAGCAAGGATGGCGAGACTTCATCTCACATACTTTGGACATGTTATCAGGAGAGACCAGTCCCTGGAGAGGGACATTATGCTTAGTAGAATAGAAGGTCATCGAAAAAGATGAAGACCCTCTAGGAGATGGATTGACACAGTGGCTGCAACAATGGGTTCAAGCATAACAACGATTATGAGGATGGCACAGGACCAGCCAGTGTTTCGTTCTGTTGTACATAGGGTTGCCAGGGGTCAGAACCAACTCAACAACATCTAACAACAGCATGTTCTGACACAGTCTGGAGAAATGCGCTCAAATAAGGAAAAGTTTAGCAATAGCTGGGAATTTGATAAGAGAACAAGAGAAAAGGAATTGGGAGCTGGAGAAGAGCATTGGTCTCCAGCACTTAACTCATACACGTGATCATGCAAAAGCTGTCATAAACTCTCTAAGTAGCATAATCATTCTCCACCAGGTCCTAATAAGTTGGTCTTTGTAACTAGAGAAATGACACAGTTCTCGTTCAAGAGAATAAGGTAGGGATGGTTAGAAAAGCCGAAACAAAGAAATACACATGCCAGGATGCATTATTGTCCAAGACCTGTTTGATTGTTTAATCTACAAGTTTACATAAGGTATCAATCAACTCTGCAAACGATAGCAGCCAATATGGGTCTTTTTCTGCTATCTAATAGACTACTCCTTCCTTGCTTGCTGAATGCAAACGAATGAAACTGGCAACATATGCTTTGGCTGATCAAGGAATAACTGGCCAGGGGTCACTGTGTATGACGGTCGCCCAGGTCTGCAGAAATAACACAAAAGAGCTACATGAAGACAGTGGTTGGGGATGGTTGAGGGATAGAAATACATATGTCATCCTGCCGTCACAGCCCTGGTCTCTGTTCAACATTGTGTTTGTGAGATTTAGCCATATTGTTGCATGTAGTCATTCATTTATTCTCCTTGTTGTGTGATATTCTATGACATAAATAGACTATAGTTTATTTTCCATTCAATCATAGATGAGTATTTGATTCATTTTTAGTTTTGGTTATATTAAATAGTGCTACCAGGACATACTTTTTGCAGTATTTAAGTCAGCATTTCTGTTGCATATACACCTAGAAATGGAACTGCTGGGTCATTGGATATATGTATGTTCAATGGCAATCATTGTTAGGTACCGTTGAGTCGATTCTGACTCAAAGCAACACCATGTGACAAAGTAGAACTGTCCCGTAGAGTCTTCTAGGCTGTAATTTTTATGGGGGCAGATCACCTGGTCTTTCTCCCATGGAGCAGCTGGGTGGCTTTGAACCACTAACCTTTCAGTTAGTGACTGAGTAATGTCAATAAGTATTGCTAAACCGTTTTCCAAAACGGGTATGCAATTTATAGTTCCAGGAACAGTGTATGAAGACCATGCATTCATTCTATAGTTAATTCATGACACATTTGTTGACAGTCTACTTTGTCTATGATATTCGTCTGATGACTATAAGGATAAAGAAAGAAAGAAAACGAGGTTCTTGCCCTCAAGGAGCTTACAGTTTTGTTAGAGACACAGACATACAAGCAATTAATTCCCGTGGCATGGAGACGGGACTAAGTGCTCTAAAAGAGTTACAACAACATGGCGGGGAGAGCAGGGTGAAGAAATGAGGGAGGCACCACAGAGCAGTTGAAACTCGTAGTCAACATTCATAGAGTGCTTTGCTGTTTACAGAACACTTTTCACACTTCTCAAATGTAGTGTTTTATTTAGTATTTACAACTTTCATTACAGATATCACTCTGATTCTTTTTAAAATGAAGAAACCAACTCAGAGTCAAATGGCTTCCCATGGCCGAGCTGGTGAGTGGTGGAGTCAGTATTAGCCACAAGGTACTCCAAAGGCAGCTCTTGTACTCTTGCCCTATACTCTGTTGTATCAAGAAGGCAACTTACGAGAATAATCTTGAAGCGTAAGTAAGGCAGCCAAATCATGAGATGCAAGGAACATAAATGATGGAATCAGAAAAGCTTGATGCCACACAAAAATTTGTGATCTATTTGTTTTTAATTTCTCAGAGGTTCTGCCTTCTCCTTCATAAGAAAGGAATGATAATATTGATTATTTCACAGAGCAATTGTGAAGACTAAATGAGCCAGTATTTGTTCAAGAATCTAGCTCATTGACTGATAATAAGAATTGCCAATAAATGGCTTCTCAATCCAAATTTGTTGAACCCCACCAAAGACAGAGTAGAAGATGGGAAATAATCTTACTATGTTTGTGGACAGGGAGTCAAATATATATTAAAACTGAATGCATTGTTTAACTGGAAAAAAGAAAAATACTTTATAATTCTGGTTTGTAAAAAAATAGGAACATCAGGCATTGGAATCCTTAGAAGAGTTCCTCATCAGGTCCATCTTTATTCTGTCTCCCAAGCATACTATTGATATTGCCACAATGTTCAGGACTTGGGCCATTCGAATATCTGACATCTCTTGAGAGCATTAAGTAGCATAGGATGTTGAAAGACTGGATTGATGGCTGGAACCCAAATCTGAGAACAAAGATATATATTAAGAGAGAGTGATACTAAGGAGCCAACAGAAATTGGGGCCAGGCATGTCTCTCAGGCTTACAAAGAGGTGGCTCAACTGGTTCTTGCAGTATCTGGAAGATGTATTTCAAATACGACTGGTATTTCAAATACCACTGGTATTTGAAGTGCCAGCAGGTTCACCCTTGGTGGACAGGTTTCAGCAGAGCTTCCAGACTAAGACAGACTAGGAAGGAAGACCTGGCAGTTCACCTCTGAAAAAACTGGCCAGTGAAAACCTTATGAATAGCAGCAGAACATTGTCTGATATAGTGCCAGAAGATGAGCCCCTCAGGTAGGGAAGGCACTCAAAAGACGACCGGGGAAGAGCTGCCTCCTCAAAGTAGAGTCAACCTTAATTACTTGGATGGAGTCAAGCTTTCAGGACCTTCATTTGCTGATGTGGCATGACTCAAAATGAGAAGAAACAGCTGCAAACATCCAATGATAATCAGAATGTAGAATGCATGAAGTATGAATGTAGGAAAATTGGAAATCATCAAAAATGAAATGGAACACATAAACATCAATATCCTAGGCCTAGTGAGCTGAAATGGACTGGTATTGGCCATTTTGAATTGGACAATCATATAGTCAACTATGCCAGGAATGACAGATTGCAGATGAATGGTGTCGAGTTCATCATCAAAAAGAACATTTCAAGGTCTATCCTGAAATACAGAACTGTCAGTGATAGGATTAATATCCATATGCCTACATGGAAGACCAGCTAAAAGGACTATTATTCAAATTTACACACCAACTACTAGGGTCAAAGATGAAGAAATTGAAGATTTTTACCAACTTCTGTAGTCTGAAATCCATCAAACATGCAATCAAGACACACGGATAATTACTGGTGATTAGAACGCGAAAGCTGGAAACAAAGAAGGATTGGTAGTTGGAAAATATGGCCTTGGTGATAGAAACAATGTTGGAGATTGCATGAATTTTGCAAGACCAATGACTCCTTCATTGCAAATGCCTTTTTCACCTACATAAACAACGACTATATACGTGGAGCTTGCCAGATGGAATACACAGGAATCAGATCAACTACATCTGTGGAAAGAGACGATGGAAAAGCTCAATATCATCAGTCAGAACAAAGCCAGGGGCCAACCGTGGAACTGACTATCAATTGCTCATATGCAAGTTCAGGATGAAGTTGAAGAAAATTATAACAAGTTCACAAGAGCCAAAGCACGACCTTAGGTATATCCCACCTGAATTTAGAGACCATCTCAAGAATAGATTTGACATAGTGAACACTAATGACTGAAGATCAGATGAATTGTGGAATGGTATCAAGGACATTATACATGAAAAAAGCAAGAGGTCATTAAAGAGACAGGAAAAAAGAAAATACCAAATGAATGTCAAAAGAGACTCTGAAACTTGCTCTTGAATGTAGAGTAGCTAAACTGAATGGAAGAAACGATGAAGTAAAAGAGCCGAACAGAAGATTTCAAAGGGCAGCTCAAGAAGACAAAGTAATGTACTATAATGAAATATGCAAAGAGCTGGAGATAGAAAACCAAAAGGGAAGAACACGCTTGGCATTTCTCAAGCTGAAAGAATTGAAGAAAATTTGAGGCCTCCAATTGCAATACTGAAGGATTCTACAAGGAAAATACTAAACGATGCAGGAAGCATCAAAAGAAGATGGAAGGAATAGGGAGTCACCGTAGTAAAAAGAATTTGTTGACGTTCAAT